CAAGTTGCTCCTGGTGTTTCTGCTAGCACGGAAGCTGATGGCTCTGGCCCTGCTCCTCCTTTACATTCCTGTTTCTTAGTAAACGAAGGTATTCTCACCACTCTTCTTTCTACTTTACCTCTCTCTTTTTTTCTTCTTCTTTCTTTCTTTTGTCTGACTTGCTCTCTGGTTGTGTTGTATGCCCCTCTCAATAGACGCATCCATTCTCCAAACAATTTAAATTCACTTAGCGACTTTTATTTAAAACTAATAAATTCATTCACTAAGCAATCTTTACTTATAACTCATACTCCATTTAGTTCATTAAAACGAATTCGTTTTCTCTGCCTTTGCGGGCTGATCCTGTCATGACAACCATGTGCAATGTTAGGTATTAGATTATAAAATGGCAGAGATTTTTAAAGTTTCAATAGAAGGGAATATTGTAAATTAAGGTTGAACTCTAGGTTTTTTTTTTGGTGCTTTTTGAGCTTGGTTGTTTTCTTACAGATATCCCATTATCCAACTAGGTAACTGAGGCACTGATGACATTGCCTATTTGGGTAATGAAACGTCTGCAAGAAAACAACCGAGTTCAGAGAGCACCTAGGACCACACATTTCAAAATTTCTTAACTCTCTTTTATGTAAGTGAAGTAAAAGGCCAGAGGATGACAGATACAATTTAGTTAATATCCTGATTGACGATGTTTTTAACAGTTTGAATTCAAACAATTTTTTTAAAGAAAATTTCTATGGTTGGTTGATGATACGGCATTGAATGGTTTTAGAAAAGCTTTGCATTTTGCAAGTCTGTTTCAGAATTACATTTAACCAATATATGCTGATTAAATAACAATTTAATGTGTGATGTTCCAACAAATAAAAACTTCACTTTGTCAGGATCAGTGGAATCAAATGGATTCCAAAAAAAATATGTATTGGTTTTAAATCATTTGTAAAACATACACTGTGCGTTTGTGTATTGGCTGGCGTGTGTATAGCTTCTAATTGTGTCTGTCTCCCAGTGGAATGGATTTCAAGGAGTACCTCCCAGAAAAGATTTGGAAGACTGAAATTGAAATAAAAACCCTGGATGCTATATGTCACCCTATAATAGTGTGTTTCAATCTTATCAATCTTAAGATGTATGGACTTCAACACCCAGAATTCCCCCAGGCAGCATGAATTCTGGGTGTTGAAGTCTACACATCTTGAGATTGATAAGGTTGAGACATATAATGTATTGACTTGACTTTCAATTATTTATGTAAATTATTCAGAATATAATCATTTTAACAAATAATAAAGGTGGTTTTACAACTTAATACCTTATTATATCTTACCATGTTCTTGTCATGCCAAGAACAATTTAATTAAGTTATTGTTAGATCCAAGCTTTTCTCTAATCGGCAGCAGCAGTCCAGTCTCCCTCTAGGGGTAGTTACAGAATCTGCCATGTAGTGGAGCTAAATGGACACCCTTACAGTTCAGGGGTGACATATCTCAGTTTTATTAGGATAAACGAGTTTTCTCTGAAACCTCTTGATTCTAAGCCAGGGGTCTCAGATTTAGATGATTCCAAGCACTGCATGAGGAATAGTTTATTTAAACTTAACAATTAAATGTCGATGTATAATCTGGAGCCCTACAAAAGTTGCACAGTTGTAACTCCCAACAGCCCAAGTCTGGCCAAGTGATACACCATCAGAAGAGCAGATGGTCTACTGTAGACAGAAGTTTTTCAAACAGAAGCTTCAGGTTTTTTTTTTCAGAACAATCACAGAATTGCTCTCTCTTCTCCCCCCCCTCCCCAGCCTTTTACAACCATGGTTGATGCAGCTCATTCTCTCCTTAGCTCTGATGGCCCCAAAGAAACTCTTCCTAGGTTTTTCCTCGAAGGAACCTTATTGCCCTCTCAAAATCGCCAAAATCACCAAGTTACATCAGGATCCCTTTAACAATGACATGGGTCAAAGCTGAGAAAAGGTTGCTTGTCTTCCTTCCTTCCTTCCTTCCTTCCTTCCTTCCTTCCTTCCTCCCTCCCTCCCTCCCTCCCTCCCTCCCTCCCTCCCTGTCCTTCCTTCTCTCATCCCTCCATGTCCTTCCTTCCTTCCTTCCTTCCTCCCTCCCTTCCTCCCTCCCTGTCCTTCCTTCTCTCCTCCCTCCCTTCCTTCTTCCCTCCCTCCCTGTCCTTCCTTCTCTCATCCTCCCCGTTTTCCCTCTGTGTCCTTCCTTCCTCCCTC